AGCCCTTTTTTTTTCAGTTTTTTATATGATGAATAACGAACACATTGAACAAAAAATAAGTATTAATTATATTTAATATCAATATATATATATATATATATATATATTAGGGTGGTCCTTAAAATGGTCATTTTCAAATTTCCTTGCTCCTAGGGGCTCAAATGGTTCCAAATAGATGCAAAACAATTCTCTGAAAGTTTTAGCTCTTAATATTAACGTTTAGATAGAGTGCAATTCAATCAAAGTTTTGTATCAAGATAGCATGGAAAAATTTTAAAAAAATTTAAAAATGTTTTTTAGATGTAATTTAGCGAACAAATGAATGAATAAAACTCATTCATTTGTCGCTAAGTTAGACCTAAAACATTTTTTTTAAATTTTCAAAAATTTTTCCATGCTCTTTCCATACAAAGTTTGATTGGATTGCGCTCTATCTAAACGTTAATATTAAGAGCTAAAACTTTTAGAGAATTGTTTCTTATCAATTTAGAACCATTTGAGCCCCTGGGAGCAAGGAAATTCAAAAATGACCGTTTTAAGGACCACCCTAATATATATATATATATATATATATATATATATATATATATATTATATTATATTTAGTATCAAACAAATTTAATAAATTATAATAATATTTTAAATATGGCATATTCTTTATAAATAAAAAATAAAATTAGAAATTCATTTAAGTTGATTGCGATAAAAAGACTTAACTTTCTATTTTCGTTTTGCTTTTTCAAACAAATAATATACACACATAAAATTTACTTTGATCATGAAACGAAAAGTTCCCATCTTATCTACATATTTCCATCATAACATAGGCAATTAAAAATTGAAAATGTTATTATAGTTATGAGCAAATTATAATTTCTTGTAATTGCAAAATTAATGAATTTCATTAAAAAATAATTTCAAAAACAGTGTATAACCGTAAACGTAAAAAACGATTACCGTGTAAAACGGGGGATAGATAAATGAATAAATAAAATAAATAAATATAATCGAATTATTATTAATGCAAATATTTTGTCGAAGTTAAACGATTCTCATCATCGGATGAAGTCTAACGTCGCCTTAAAGATGTACACAGCGCGCGGCATGACGTTTTTAATATCTTCTATCTGCACAAATATAAACACAGCGTGAACTACGATGTTGAGTATGGGGCGGGTGGCATGGCTCGTTCTCGCGCGACTCGATTGTGTCAGTGCGCAATACTACCGCGAACGCGGCGAAGAGAAGGTGTCTTCACGCTCGGCTTGTGTGTGGGTGGAAATATGCTAGAATCATGTATATTACTATATTCACCCTAAGCAATATTAATACATATATACTCGTTTTATACGTTTTATATTAATAGTAAGCTCATGGTATTTGTTAATCGTTCAACAAACAATAAAAAATATGTTGAAACTTATTTGTATTAAGTTTTTCAAATTATGTTAGAAACGTCGAAATTTAAGGGGGTATTCTGGTCTAGAGGCACGATTTTTATGCGAATTTTGTAACACTGTAAAAATAGGCAAACATTATTTTTACTATATTTTTTATAATATATTATTTATTATTTTGGGAATATAAGAAATAAGTAAAAATCGAGTATTGTCTTAAGGTTTGAACACCATCAAACTTCGTATGGAAAGAGCATGGAAAAAAATTTGAAATTAAAAAAAAAATGTTCTAGGTATAACTTAGCGACAAATGAATGTGTTTTATTCATTCATTAGTTTGCTAAATTACATCTAAAAACCATTTTTAAAATTTTTGAAATTTTTTTCATGTTATTTCCATACAAAACTTTGATTGAATTGCGCTCTATTTAAACGTTAATATTAAGAGGTAAAACTTTCAGAGAATGGTTTTTTATCTATTTGGAACCATTTGAGCCCCTGGGAGCAAGGAAATTCGAAAATGACCATTTTAAGGACCACCCTAATGTATATATATATTATTTATTAATCTAGAATACTGTCATAAAATTAGTTTTTTTTAAATGGTAAAAAAAACGGGATTTGGGGATAAGCTTAGTTCACCCTGAAGAGAAGTCTACAAAGAAGACTCTGTAAAAATGTCAAGTAAATCGGTCCAATAGAGGTTGAGAATATTGAAAAAAATAAAATGATTTTTTAAAAATTCAAGAACAGATACCCCTTTAAAATATAATGAAGTCCCATCTTAAAAAGTTGGAAATGTTTCATTGACTTAATTTTAATAATTTTTTATTTTAATTAATTTAAAAATTCGAGAAGTACATTTAAATTTAATTTTCTCGACATCTAATGTAAACAGAGTTTTATCCGAAACACCCCTAAGTACTATTTATTTTTTTATTATTTAATTTTATTATTTTATGAAATCTTACGAAACAGTTCGAGTATCGAACCCTACTGTCGAATTAAACGTATTTAACTAGTGAGAAAAAGCAATAGTAGCGGTATTCTAATTTGTTGATAACATACAATATTCACCTCGTTGTACAAACATACCGTTTTGTTATTTTACAAAAAGATAGTGTATACATTACAGTTAAATTATTGTGATCGTTTTATCAGTTCATTTATAATTGCCAGCGGTGTAAGACACTGAATAAGTTAAAATGTGAAAAAAAATTAAAACCACCTCATAATTTTCAGTAGTATGTGAGATAACTAAAATAAATAATAATTATAATTATAAATTCAAAATAATTAGGTGCATTGAAACAACTGATATAAAATAAATAAATTAAAATTAATACAAAACAACAACGATGCCAATATAAGCAAAATTGAGAGATTTATAAAAAGATTACAAATACGAATTTAACATATTTTTTATTTGCTACCTCATATTTATTACTTATTTTACAAAAAAAGCTTAAAAGTTTTTGCACTATATAATATTTTATTAAAATTATCAAATTATCATCAATTTTTACATTTTTTATGAATGGTCATTTCAAATTTTAAAACTCAAATATCGATTGTTGTTTTAGTGATTTTAAACAAAATTAGTGATTAAAATATTCTAAACGCATTTGATTTTCTTTTGTATATAATTAGTGAACTTGGGGTTTGAAATAAAATCCACTTAATGTCAATATTCTTCATATGAAAAGCAATCAATTTCTAGTACAAAACTTGTATGTCGATACACTACTTCTACTATGAATAATTTATAACTTGTGAAATTATAGCCGTTGTTTTCGTGGTTTACAGTACCTATTATATATCAAATCAATATATTGAATCTTCAAGAAAATAATATTATAAATACAAGAAAATTATGTACTAAAATACTATCCTTTAATATAAACTCCGCATGATATAATATATATTTATGTATATATCAATAATTTAATAATAGTAAAATGCAATATAGTCCCAGTCGCCGTAGTTACTTATGCCAAGTCTGGTACTAACTTAATGTTTGCATGAAAATAGAAATAATTGGATCTAGCAATATTAACTGACTTTTCAAAAGTAGATTGCCTCATAATTTAATATTTAAAAAGTGAATATTGTTGAATAAATTTGAACTATCACCGCTCCTCTAACAATTTTACTACAGAAAAAGATGAATGCAATATTAATATGTGTATTTATTTAAATCATCATACCTAACACAATTTATAAAGATATAATATATATGCAGACCGACCTTCTGCACCTTGCTCGACGGGTGCTATAACACATCAAGGCGGACGGGATACGAAATCATAAATTATTTGGCGTACTATTTTTATGCATTCGATTTACATCAGGAACGTAATTGAACCAGCGTTTTTTCACTTATGCAGAATACGATATTGCCATTCAAATCTTAAAAATTGAACGGCGAGACGTTTTATATCATAAGGCAAGCTATTGCACCTAAGATAAAATTGATGCATGGAATTAGGTATATCTATTTCTACATGTGCAATTTTTGAATGTTTGGAATAATTGAAACAAATTAAATCAACAAATCAACAAGAGCTTAAATAAGTACATTAATATTCAATTTATTAATATATGAAGAGTATTCCCATTTTTGCACGTAACACATATATTTATTGAGCACGTGCAAAACCCTTATCAAAATTAAATATTTAAAAAAAAATCAGGTCATGAACAAAAAACGATTTTTTATAACATGATACAATAATAATAAACCGAAATTACAATAATAAATTTTAAGCAATTTAAAGAATCCTGTAACCAATAAATATCTTTACTTAAAATTATTGAATTTTAAGAAATATCTAACAAATTAAATCGACAAATCAACAAAAATCTAAAAACAATTATGCGTCAATTAGTAAATTAATATATAATTAATGCGATAAATTTATATTGGCAAAATAAAATACAAATTAATACTTAAACATTTTGCTAGCTTAAAGGCTTCCATACGGTATGAACCCTATTGTTTTTTTTTAATATTATAATTAATATTAAATTAATACATTAAAAAATAGCAATTTTCATTTTATTGAATAATTTTTACATTAGATGCGCAATGTTAAAAAATATATAATCGCCGAACCTAGCATTTATATAATTATCTAGTTCACATATAGTAAAAACGTATATATACTCATTAAAGTATCTAGCAAATTATAATATTTATTCGTAATTCGCGAAAGCAAATAGCGTATTCCATATCTGTCGCTTTGAAGTCAAAATCCAAATAAGTGATATTTTATTGTACACATGTTTGCTCGAGCATGGTGTTTTAGACAGTGGTCTCCAAAATTCTGAGCTGTAAAATTTTAGTCATAAGAACAAGCAGAACAAAAAATATTTTAAATAATTGTAAATTTTATGGTCTAAATATGATATTAATCGAATTAAGGAAAAATCGAAGCTTAACAGAATGTATATTTATTAAGTCTAAAAATATTTTTTTCTTTTAATATATACCAACGAGGTACGCTCTTGTTAAGTGTGAGTTAAAAATTTTATTAGTGATCAATTTTGGAGGCCACTACACTAAATAAAACAGTTTTGATTGACGTGTGCATGCCCTAGCAGGGATTGGTCGCCGGCGAGTGGGCAGCAGCAGCAGGGTTGGGCCCAGCTCAGCACGACGGGTCCGCAGCAGCAGAACGCAGGGGGCTTCGGGCCCCAGGCCACCGTCAAGCAAAACTCATTTGCTAATTCCGCCTATCGGAACGCCGGACCTGGGTAAGTGTACGGAGCTTTTTCTTTTCAACTATTATAGAATCATGTTATAGCGATAAAATAGAATTTAGTTCATTTCTACGAATTCAAGCTTAATTAAAGACAATTTCAATACAGCGAAGTACTCAGACTCATAAAATCTACTATAATTTTATGGTCAGCTTGTTTAGCCCTTTGCCTAATAAAAAGTCCCAACAAGGCATATAATCCTAATTTTTAAGCCGCTGTGTTCATAGCACGTGTTCATCGATTCTACATACGCGTTTCAAGTAACAAAACAAAGAGAAAAAAGAAGAAAAAAAAAAACAAACAAATAACCGGTAGTTCATAAGCATGAATGTTGAACAGTCCCGATCTCGGCTCATTTTGGCCACCTGCCGCTGGCTCGACCCAACACTGGCTAATTGATGACCGTTTGTTAGTAGTACCGACGTGCCGAGTAATTTGAGGAACGCTCGGCACATTGAAAAATTACTAAGCTGCCAATTTGTCGCTATCAATATGCATTTAGACTGCTTAAGTATCTAATATACTTAACAGGCTTAAGATTAAACAAATCACACCTTTAATAATATAAAGGTAAACAGTTGTCATAAATATTAACAGTCTTAATTACAAATATATCCATGTGGAGGATAAACAAAAACGTGATCGAATATTTTTAACTCAGCTCCAAACCTCCAGCAATAAACAGCTCCAAATATTTCAAGCAAGAGAGATCGATTGCCAATAAATTAATAATGTGCTGAAAATTTCGTCCAAATAAATCTTTTGAATACCTGCTAGAGCTCTTATTCGAGGCAATATAATATATTGTTACAAATGACCTCAAACGCAACCAGCAATATCATATCAGTTTAATTTTAAGCTAATGCCGTAAAAACAAAGTTCAAAACGTCATTTTTGAGAAAGTTTTAATCTATAAATAGACCTGATTTGTGCTAATGTATATTTGCAATCATATGGAACCTATTAATTAAATAGTAATTATTTACATATATGTATATAAAAATTGAACTACCAAGCCGGAAGAGTGTTGCATTTTCAAAACAATATTGCGGAAAATTATTGCATATTATTGCAAAATGCAAAATAACGAAATAAAAACATTGCGAAATTTATGAAATGCTTCGCACAGCTGTATCAACAAACGTAACGTTTTTGTAAATGTAATGTTCTTAATTTTTTGCTCCAATATTATAAATGCACTAATATTTTTTGGTGAAAAATTTAACATCCAAAATCATGCATTTTCAAAAAAAAAAAATCATTTTTTTTATTTACTTAAACAGTACAATGTGTCAGGCTCCATTGGCATTATTTGTAAAATAGCTTATACCGACAATAAAACGATTACTGAGCAATATATGTTAAGGATTATTGCTTACAATTAGATAATATCTACTTAGGTAGAAATAATTTATGACAGCTATAATATCGGCAAAGATTGAAAACGATGGTAGACGACCTTTTCTAATTATGTATGTATATGTATATACATACACACATTGTATAAAAATGCAAGATACATTTAAGAAATATTTACTAACATTTTTTAGAAATGCATTATATGCGGTACCAAGAATATTACCCTTATAAATACTATATATATATATATATATTCTATGTGTGCATTCTCGTATTAAATACTAATGTTCTAATCGGGTAGATTGCAAGAGGATATTGAATAGCGTAGTTTCAGTGGCCAACTGTTCTCACCCCGTAGCATACCATCGGTCGGGAAGCTAGGGGTAATATTTTAGAGGAGAGTGTGGAGTCGCTTAGTTCATTCAAAAAAATTATACAGGGTGCTTCGATTGTCAATCAAAAGCTCTATTAATGATACATAACATGCCTCCTTGAAAGCATATTTTCATCGATTGAGAATAACGAATCACATCCAGCTCTCATAGTATTTTGTTCCAATAAACTCTTATGATGCCTGCAGCGTAAAGCTAATTTATCTAGATCATTATGCATAATAAGCATTCAATATATTTTAGAATTTTTATTGCTGAAATATTCATAGTTAGTTTATATAGCTTATAATTCTTACATGTTACAAAAATTCGATATGTTCAACACTTTGTTCAATACTTTGCAATGACGCATATAACGTAATTTATCAATATATCACACGGCATAATACCAATCGTGCCATTCTCACGAACAAGTTCATTTCAAATATAATAAGTGTATCAATTACGAACCACAAAAATATCTATATATTGGTCTACATATCGCGGCACGGCATAGCACGGTATAGATAAGTTTATTTTTTATTGATAATGTGCGGTTTGACAAAATAGTTTCCGTGAATATTTTAACTGCAATTATTTTCATAAATCTTGAAAAATATTTTGTATTTAACATAAACTCTATAGTAACATTTTTATTTAAAATATATTCAGAATAGAGCGAATACATGGGTGTATATATAAGTTATTTCCTTCGGGTTTATATAATGCAGAATTAAAGAAAGTGAATTTAACTTGAAATATCGCATTTGTAAGGTATGCTAATGAAGATAAGAACTTATTTAAAGAAACTTGCTTGCGAAAAAGGTACTATCCCATTTCGTAACACTTGACTCTATTTCATTAACGAATATAACAATTATTGATAAAACAATGTTAGTTCAACTCTTGTAGATTGTCAAGATTTATTGTTCACTGTAAGGAGTGAATTACGTTATTAAAGCACCCCTAAATAATACTTGTTTTTGCGAACGGAAATGCGCCTATGGTTGTTTCGTTGTAACTAATTGGTGTCAGGCGGTACTTCACAGTTACCTCTCGGGTTTCGTTCAAAGGCGATAATTTCGTGTCACCCTGTGCTTACACATACTGTGCTGTAGTGTGTCGGGTCCCTGTTATTGATTTTGTGGGAATCCGAGAGAACTATCTATACACATATGCACCAATATAGCCACACATAGTAAAGCTTATATTATAGACACAAGCCGACAAGGCAATACGCCAACGAATGTATGGGTCGCAAACCTATTCTGAACGTATTGTGTGTTGCAAAATAGGTGTACGAATTCACACACATAAACGAAAAAGGGCAACATCCTGCGCTCATGCTAAACTATTACCAGGTATAGGATACAACTCTGATACCGATCCTTTGGCGATATTTCATGTTCTCATACGGAACATGATATCTCACAAAATCTTAAGTATTTACGGACGTTTAAGTATTTAATATTTGTTACTTGTAACATGACACATTTTCTAACTTTTCTTATACAGTGCTAATAGTAGAACAAAAAGATTGGCATGAATCTGACTTATACTGCTATATTAATATTCAATAAAATATAATAAATATGTTTAACCACATCTATACCTGAGGCTAATAAAAATACAAACATACTTGTTTGCATGCACAATAATTCTTTAATTTGCCAACAGTGCCACTATGGGTCTTATGAATACTGCAAAATACCCTTTTTATCATTTCAATCGCAGGCCTTCAGGTAGCTCAATCATCCCTTAAATACCTTTTTGACAAGTGTATACTTGCCGTAAAGACTTGAATACCGAAGCGCGCCTTCTTATGATCTTTTCGGCTCGACAAAGTTTACAAAAGCTTTACAATTGTGTTTGCGTAGTGGTTAAACCATGCAAAAAAGGTCTGAACGTACTGACAACAAAATGAACAATTACCAGAGGTTTCGCTCTTATCTGTGCGCCTGTTGAAATATTTTGAAAATGAAATAATTTATGTATCTTAAAAACCTGTTTTTCCTGTAGGTATATACTCAACATATACTGTACTCGAAAATGTTGAAATTGAGACTTTGAAAAATTAGCTGTTTATTTATTATAATTACACGATTATGTTTCTTCAATTGTTGCGTAATTATTTTTACATTCATTAACTAGGAAACTTTATGATTTATATATAGGGTAGAACGGGGCTTAAAAGTCCGCGGGTAAAAAGGTCCACCACCGATATCTCAAACACAAGTGAAGTTAAGAACTGTTTAACAACAATAGTAGTTATGAATGTAGGAGGAAAAGATGTATAATCAGTCACAACCATGATTCTTAACGACGTTGCTGTCGGAAAATAATCCGCAATATTTGAAAATCCACAAAAGTATTTTCATTCATTGTTAGTTTTTTGGTTGTAAGCACTGTTGATATTGAAATCTTAATATTGTTGAATATTGTATCTATTATTTCGTAAAATCCTTTTAAAATTAAAAATAAAACATTGAACTGTGAATTAGCAGAGTGTTTTACTGAACATAGTCAGACAGTTGTTTGTTATATATTTGTTATTTGTTGTGATATAATTGGTTTGTTTTTCCCAATATAATTCCTCAAAGTCAAATTGGACCTTTGTGCCCCCGCCCTACCCTATATAATATTACATTATATATAATATATTTTGATACAATTATCATTATTTTATTATTGTAATAAACTTTTCCAAATAAATGTAATCACTCGCTTCAAACAATAATTTGTTAAAGGATAACGCATATAAACGCCGATATCCTAATTGTCGTTAAACATATTACAAAGCTATGCTAAGGAATATATTATTTAGGGTTATTCCTAACATTCATGCTGTCACATTCTCATCTACTAAGCTTATATTGACCCTTTAAATTTATTCGTTTCAAGAGATGAGATCGTGCCGCTGCCGTGCGAAACCCTTTGTAACTTATTGTCAGCCCTTCTCTAGTCAGTCAGTAACCCGTTATATTGTGTCCTTTTGTGGAATAGTATTAGTGGCAAAAGGGAAGCCATAATTTACTTTGCTGTGATTCTGAAACTCGGGTGCATTGGTATTTGAATTACGCACGTGTGTATATGTGTTTATAGCAATGTGATCATGGCAGAACCTTGCAGGGGAAGCGCCTCATAATACTTCCAAAAGTGAAGTTTGACTTTTGTATTGTTATTGTTGATCGGATACATATATCCTTAAAGACTTGTTATATTGTGTTCTTTATGAAAATATGATCTGTACATTAAGATTTTCAA